GTTAGAACCCTGAATGCCTATGCTATGTGGGTGAGGACTACCGTCGGGCCTTACATCGCTCTTTGAACAAGTAGGCGAGTTGGTTAAGAAGCCCAACATTAAAGCCAAAATATCGAACGATAAGATGATCTCATAAAAGGACCGACTATAGCGTCGTATGGTCCGAGAAGCATCGAAGCAGGTGGCTATAGAGCCGAAAATGTCAAAAGACAAGATGTTCTCATAAAAGGACTAACTAGAGCGTTGTATGGTCCAAGAAGCATCGAAGCAGGTGGCTATAGAGTCGAAAAATGTCAAAGGACAAGATGTTCTCATAACAGAGCAAACTCTAAGGTCGTAGGGCTCGAGGCACATCGTAGGATATGTCTATGGAGCCAAAGGATCGTCATGAGATGAGGCTCCCTCATGAAAGAACAAACTAGAACGTTGTATGGTTTGAGAGGTTTTGAATGCTAGCTGAGCAAAGTAGTCTAGCAATCTAAGACGAGCCGATTAGGCCGAGCGAAGCAGTCCTCACCGTACACAACGTTCTGGTATCATTGGATATCAAAACATCACGACCTGACATGGATCGATTGACCAGCTGAAGTAGTCTAGACCAATGCAACATGTCTCTTAACGAGGTGATGAAAATCAACCTAGTCAAAATTGGTGTTGAAGGGGGTCGAACGAAAAAAGCAATCCAACCTCATAGTACCTTACGGACCTGAGTGGGGTAACTCTTGCTAGAGAGTTTTGCGAGTCTGAGAATAGCCGCTTAAACATGGACTAATAAAATTAGCATAGAGCTAAGATTAGTTCAGCATGCAACCTGACATGGTGAATATCATTAGTCAAGTCAACTATCAAATAGGACATAAGGTATGTATCCTGCCTATGCATGTAAAATGGTACAGGAGATATGTATCCTGACCCTGCATCAAGCAAGCAAGTACATGGTTGAATAGCCTAAGGTAACATGCTCGGAGTGTAGTCAAACATCTAAGTGTTACGATAAAACATGGATTGGTAGTACAACTGATACAACATGTTGCTCGATATGGTGGTCAGAACCAACCAAGAGGGAAACTCTCCACGGTGTCTCCAAGGGGGAAACTCTCCACGGTGTCGTGAAATGGACTAGCTACAAAGCTATTCTCATTTCGTGAACTCCTCTAGACTTTGCAAAGCGAGCCAGCTACAAAGCTTATCTCGCTTTGCCAAGTCCGGCCTCCTAACTTCTCCAAGTAAAGCTGAGGAATCTAAAGCAAGGGGAGTGAGGGACTTTGACCCATCGGGACTTGTGCTAAGGCTCACAACAAGAGGGGAGACACTTGGCTCTACGGGGGGTATTTGGCCACTCACAGGAAGTCCTAACCTAAAGGCTGGCTTTAGAAAATCCAACGATCCATCACGCGGGCACGTCGCTGCACCAACCCACGCCGGCGCACGCACCCCGTGTGGGCGATCGAACCCACACGCCTAGACACCACTATTCCTAAGGCTGGCTAGGAGGTAGAAAGTCTCACCACCGTGACGGTTGCAGATGTGTTTTCTTTGCTGGCTCCCAGCTCGCCGGCGTCCGATCCATGCTCCAATGTGCCTCGTAGAACGTGCACAGGACAACAAAAAGACATAGTAGGCTATGAGGGCAAGAGGTATTTAAAATAAATAATTTTTTTTGTTTTTTCATATAAAAATATGACCAACTCATATACCTTTGCGAGGGGTCAAACGGGACCCTATGTGTCGCAAAGCCGTCGCCACCATGAAGACAACAAGGAGCTTTGACAAAGAGAGAGGCAGGTGCTGCCCAGGCCCTGCGCATGAAGGAAGTGATGGCAGAAAATTCACCGTCAAAGGCTTTGCTTGCGGAGGAAGTTCGACCAGTGAGAAGGGTGGCCAAGCGGCTAGGGGTGCAATAACTCGGGGCTCTGTGTGAGAGAAAGCTGGGGTCGGTGAGATCTGGACGCCAGAGTCAGGGGAGGTCGACGGGATGTCGTTTGCAAGAAAAAATTAATGTCGGAAGTGCTGTTGGCCGAGAGATGAAGAGAGGTGGCAACAAGTTAGACCAGCAGCTAGAGATCTCGGTAAATGTGGCCGGCGGCGTCCCTCTTCGTAGCCTACAAGGAAGATCCGGCAAGGAGGGCCGGAGAGGGAGCTCAGGCAAGCCTTTGAGCTTCCTTTCGTGAGAGAGAGGGAGGGCTAGGATGAGTGAAGAGTTCGGCCAAGGAGGTGGAAGAACGGCGAGGTTGCCGGCGATGAAGGTGAGAATCCAAGCGAGGGAGCTTAGGCCAGCCTCACGAGAGAGAAGACCGAGAGCTCGGGCAGGTCGGCTGGAGGTGGCAGACGGCCGACCGAGGATAGATCTGACAACGGTGAGGAGCTCCGGCCGGCGAGCAGGGCGTGAAGGTCGGTAGTCTGGCAGCTAGGGTTTGGTCGTGAGGGTGACGACGCGTTGTTCGAGTGCGATCGGGGGAGAGAGTGGGAGGAAACGATATTATATGTTATAATATAATAATAATAATAAAAATAATAATAATAATAATAATAATAATATTATTATTATTATTATTATTATTATTATTATTATTAATTTAATAATCGTCTCCCCGCGCATCTTAGCCCAGAAGCGCCGTCATTTTGAAATGAATGTCCTCCCTAGCTAAAATCGACGTTCCGGACACGTTGGAACAGTCTGTTTTGTTGTTCGGGATTATTTGGACCACTTTTTTTACCATCAAGCCAAAAAGAATAATTAACACATTTTTACCCCGCCCGCGAAGCTGTAGCTAAGTGGACATCCTCCATAAATAAAATTGACGTTCTGGACACACTATGGGTGTCTGTTTCATCATTCGAGGTCATCTGGACCACTTAGTCAAGCAATTGGACCAATTCGAGCAAAAAATTGCGCGCGACGTGCGACATATTATTTTTTGCCCCGGTCGGAGTCGTCCAACATGCCAAATGCCGACTGGCCTTCACCTAAGAGAAAGTCATAGCCTAGTAAAATGACCCCGACTACGTGCCCCTCAACACCCGTCAAAAATGTCTCGGGTAGGTGTCTGAACTATCGGACATCACAGACAAACCGTAAACTATCCTGAGTCATGCGGGTGGACACCCTTCACTCGTGACATCAAAATTTAGTGCTAACAGACGTTTCAAAAATACTTTCCGCTAGGGTTTTTCTGCTACATTTTTGTTGTTCGCTCTGCTAGGGTTTCACATTTTCCTCATTCGATAGCTTCGAAGCCGTAAGACGATGGTGTTTGATGGCCTGGAGTATGCGCAGACTGAAGAAAGCTCAAGAACAGTATCAGAAGAGGCTGAGAAGACAAATGTTAAACAACCAATGAAGTCAAAGAAGCAGAGGAAGAAGAAGGAGGCGAAGAGGATGAAGGAGGGCAGTGAAGGGGAAAACTTGTCCTGGTAATTGTCATCATTTTATTCTTAGGTTATTTTTAGGTTATTTTTTTGGTTATAAATGGATTACTTAGAAGTGTATTCTCATGTTACTACTGCGTTAATCAGTTAATATTGTGTTGTTTCTGCATTATTCATCGTTTATTTTGGAATTTATTCCTGATTTATTTTTAGGCTTTTATCGGGTTATTCTTGAGTTACTCTGAAGTTTAGTACTTATTGGCAGCTATTCCAGTTTATTCATGGGTTATTTTTAGGTTATTATTGGGTTATTTTTGAGTTACTCTGAAATTTAGTACTTTTTGGCAGCTAATCCATGTTATTCCTGTGTTTTTTTTTAAGTTATTTGTAGGTTATTTTTAAGTTAGGCGTATGTTATTCTTTGGTTAATCCTGGGTTTTTTTAGGTTATTTGTAGGTTATTTGTATTTCTTCGTAGGTTATTCCTGGGTTATTTTTAAGTTGATTCATGAGTTATTTTTAGTTTACTCTTAGGTTATTCCTGGTTTATTTTTTAAGTTACTTGCAGGTGATTTTTAAGTTAGGTGCAGGTTATTTGTAGGTTATTCCTGAGTTATTTTTAAGTTACTTGCAGGTGATTTTTAAGTTATTCGTAGGTCATTCGTTGGTTATTCTTGGGGTATTTTTAGGGTATTGTTTTGTTAATTTTGAAGTAATGTGTAGGTTATTCCTGGGTTATTTTTAAGTTATGCGTAGGTTATTCTTTGGTTATTCCTGGGTTCGTTTTAAGGCATTATTTTGTTAATTTTTAAGTTCTGCGTAGGTTATTCGCAGGTTATTACTGGGTGATTTTTATGTTATTTGTAAGTTATTTTTAGGTTATTCCTAGGTTATTTGTAGGGTATTCGTAGGTTATTCCTGGGTTATTGCCAGTATTAATAACATGCATCTTATTCCTGTAGGTTGATGAATAAATAATTAATGAATTGTAGATGCCGACCATCAGCAGTTAAAGAGGTTTTGGATAAGGTTCTGCCGGCACTATTTATGGTGTGGGGTTTGCCCGTAAGA